TTAGGAAAGATAAAAAATATTAGATTCCAACTAGAAAATAGAAATAGACTATCTGAGGAATATAAAATACTTATAATAGAATACGAACAAAAGATTATAGATTATACTAATCTACTAGATCAAATGATAGATTTGTTGGATAGAATAAAAATATAAGAATATAATATGTCAATCATCAAAACTATTCATAAAGAAATGATATATCTTGTAATGAATAAAACATATATCATTAAGGGTAAAATAGACAATTTCATAAAAGGTTTAAAAAGCTTAGTAGAATTATCCATTTGACAAATGCCCTAAGAAATTGGTTCTCTACCCACTAGTCACGTGGCCTCCCATAAATCTCTACTTATTATTATTATTTTTGAATAAAAGTTTACTTAATCAATTAATATCCAATCCAAAAGTTGCTAATGTGTCACCGCTAAAATATTTAATTCCATTAAATAACATAACTAAAATATAAGTTAGGACAATATCTTTCGACCTCGATAACTTGAGTTCCGCTAATACATATTAACTTTTTCTCGAGTCTAAAATACATAATTAATTACGAGCTATCCAACGAGTCCAAAATTCATATACTTATCATTGCTCCGTCAATATTCAAATATTTGCTACAATTAAAATTGAAATTTTCACTTTAGTCCCAAACTCCAAAATATTAAAAATATAGCATGTGAAATAATTAATTCTATTTTATAAAAATAAATTCCGGACTTTACACTTCATGCCTGAAAAGAGCTACTCACGGACTTCCATTGGCTCCCAAAAGATTTTTGGCTTATGGGCGAGGAGTGACATCCAAATTTCATGTTCAGTCGCGGGTCTTTTTGATGTAGATTTTTTGAAAATAAGTAGGTCTCATAAACAGTAGAAAAATGCTATTCATCCTTAGTGGGGATGCATCCCCAGTTTATGTGGATGTAAATGATTGGTTAAATGATAGGTGAAATTAAATGACTTAATTAATTTCACCAATCATTTAATGCCACATTAACGCTACATAGACTGTGGATGCATCCCCAATGGGGATGAATAACATTTCTCTAAACAGTAATATTTTTGAAGAATATTTTGTTAAAAATTACGAAAAAAAAGTTAAGAATTCATGTAAGAAATTATTTTATAGAAAGAATACAAGATTAAAAATGAATTTGGAGAATCTCCATCAAACAGGAGCCTAATCTGGAAATATTTTACTGAAAGGCCAGGCACATGCTCTAATGATTATGCTTTAGGTAACTTTCCCTTATTTTAGTGAAGTTTTAATTTGGTCACCTAATATTTAAAAAGTCTCAATCAAATAACTAAATTTAATTGTATATGAAATTCGAAAACTCTGTTAGTTTCCGTTATCGCAGTTGTTGGGGTTAACTTGCATGGATGTTAAAATTAAATCGAATGTCATGTGGATAGAGTTCATTTAGCTTCATGCATGCAAATTTATACCATAAGCAAGTGAACAACGTTAAATTAAAGTTTTGAAGTTCAAAATCAAATCAAACACACGATTTTCATAGTCGACATAAATAAGTTAAGTGATTAAAATCAATGTTTTGGGACTTGATTGAGACTTTTTAAAGTTAAGTGACATAAATAAGACTTAACTTAGAGTTGGGTGACCCCAATAAAATTTACCCTTGATATTTTTGTAATGCCGTATGCTTATTGTAAATTTGTAACACACTAGTTGGACTGCGGTGTAAAGATGTTGACGAAAATGACATGTAGATATTAGGTTTACTAATATTACCTAACCTTCTTTTGGTAGAATTTAAAATTCAAAGTCGACAATTAATTTTAATCACATATTTTTTAGAATCTAAATCTTTTTAACAACACAATTCATCAATTTTTATCAAAATATATTAAATTAATCTCCATCAAATAGGGGCCTAATTTCTCAAATGATAAGAAGATAAATGAAAACGCTTTAGAATTAGTTTTTACAAGAGTATATGAATTCTCGATCTCTTCGCTCTGCTTCTTGAACTGATTTGGCTTGCAATTTATCGAGGAATTAAGGGTCTCACAATAGAAAGGGTGTATCTTAGGGCAAAACATTTTATTGTCAAGATTAAGACTATTGACAATTCATTGTGATTGACATTGTAAGGTTTAGGTTACAAGAGTTAATATTACATGGTGGATGTTAGCCCCTGTTTGTCATTATTTCAAAAAATTGTTTGTTACAGTAAGATTCTCCACCACACATTCACATAATAAAATATTCTACACACAAACCAATAAAGTTACTTTACTTTTCAACCACACATCCTCCAAAAAAATACTATACATTACTCTGTTTTTCTTCCAATAATAGGAGACAAACAGGCCCTAATATTGTATAATTTATGGTTAAAGAAAAGGAATATTAGAAAAAAAATTATTGTTGGGTTTTTTTTTTTTAACCAGTGGGTAATAAAATCCTTGGAGTTTACATTTAAGTAGAATCCGTAGCAAGAAGGACATACTATACATTGATAGATGGCGACAATAAATTTAAGAATTTGGTATTTGTGGTTTTTTAAACCTTGAAATTGATTAAACGATGTAAAGTTTTGGTTTGATCCATAAATTAATTGTCGAGGTATTTATCAGATCATAAGAAATGATTCGAGCATAATCTTTCTAATTATGAGAAGGAACATCGAGTAATTTCTATGTTTAATTATTACGATTAGGGGAAAATATGTCAAAATACTAAGGGTTTGATTGATTTATATTTTTCTTCAAAAATAAAATTTGTGAAAAGTGATTTTTTTTTCAAAACAGTATGTAATTAAAAAGTAAAAAAAATTATGGGTCCATATTCAAAATTATTTTATTGGAAGAATGTATAGTTGACAAGAAATTTTAAAGAATCTGTACCGAACATGGACTAAATATTATAGTATG